GTGAGAAAAATAAAAAATTTTAAAACAATTATTTAAAAACTTTCAAATTCAAAAAAGATTTTTTTTTTAAATATTCAACATTTTTTGAATACTTTTCTATTAAATTTAAGTTAAATATGGATGGAATTACATGTTTCCGTATTTTCTAACCCCCTTATTCACAAACAAAATTTTTATTTTATAAACGGTTTATTAATTAGATTTTGTATGGAAATTTTGTTTTATAAACCTTTTATAAAATACAAATTTTGTTTGTGAATAAGAGGGTTAATGTGTAAAGTTCTTTCTTGGAATAATTGAAAATTGATTGAAAATTCTTTATAATTAAGTTTTTTCTAAGTTTTCGATATCTTGTGTACTATTGGAGATATCGTAACGAAAATCACTTAGTCGGAAGTTTCTTTTTGGGATTTTGAAAAACCACCAGGTTATCCCATGTTGTTTCGAAGAAAATTATGCAGTCGACCTAAACTTCATATAAGAAGCTAGGAAACTTCAAAGACTTAGATTAAAGTTCAGTTTTCAATACGAGGATAAAGTTTGAGTTTAAATGGTCTACACCAGGGAATAGTAACAGTATTTTATGGTCTTCACCAGTCAAAACATAACCTCACTTTGAGGTGTAGCAAATGCAAGCGGTTAATACAGATAATTTGGAACAATTATACAGTACGAGTGACATGAAAAAGTGTGAAAATCCATATAACACTTTTCGGCCTTTAAAACTTTACTTCACAAACTTCTCTAACCTCACAAATAAACATTTAAATAACTCGCGATTCTCTTGCACCTAGATTTTGCCGGCTTGAGCATTATTCTTAAACTCAGTCCTGATTTGGGAATTATTTTTGAATAATTCATAATAATAAATTTCATAAATTTGGCGTTTTTATGTTCAATATTATAAAAGGTTCAAAGAGTACCAGTTGAAGAACAAAATGTACTCAACAACAATAAGTTGGTACTGATTATATGTTTCTAGGTCTAATAATACAGAAAACCAAAAACTACCAATTGATTGACGAAAAAGTATCGGAAAGACCGTTTTTATAGAGTTTTATTCATTCAATATGCTGCGTGTTTAATTTTGCGTTCCTACGTTCAATATTATAAAAGATTTAAAAAGTCCCAGTTGAAGAACAAAAAGTACCAAAAAGATCATTCTTATAGATTTCCATTCCATCAAGATCCTTTATGTCTGATTATATGTTTTTTAGATTCTATATTGCACAATAACCAATAAGTATCAATCAAAGTACGAAAAAGTACCAAAAAAAACTTTTATACAGATTTTCATGGCAATATTATAGAAAATTCAAAAAGTACCTTTTCAAAAAGGAAGAATAAAGTTTCAAAAGGTTCTCTTTTATAGGTTCTCACTTACTCCGTGCTCTACATTATGTTTCTAGGTTCAATATTATAGAGACTCAAAAAGTACCAGTACAACGAAAAAGTACCCTAAAGTAGTCTTTGGTGCCAGAGTAACAAATATCACCCCTTAGCATATTTGGAGTTACAGATTTTCATGTCAATATTATAGAAAATTTAAAAAGTACCTTTTCAAAAAGGAAGAATAAAATTTCAAAAAGTTCACTTTTATAGGTTCTCATTTACTCCGTGCTCTACATTATGTTTCTAGGTTTAATGTTTCTAGGTTCAATATTATAGAGACTCAAAAAGTACCAGTTAAATAACAAAAAGTAAGTACCCAAAAGTAGTCTTTGGTGCCAGAGTAACAAATATCACCCCTTAGCATATTTGGAATTACAGATTTTCATCTCAATATTATAGAAAATTTAAAAAGTACCTTTTCAAAAAGGAAGAATAAAGTTTCAAAAGGTTCTCTTTTATAGGTTCTCATTTACTCGGTGCTCTACATTATCTTTCTAGGTTCAATATTATAGAGACTCAAAAAGTACCAGTACAACGAAAAAGTACCCTAAAGTAGTCTTTGGTGCCAGAGTAACAAATATTACCCCTTATCATATTTGGAGTTACAGATTTTCATGTCAATATTATAGAAAATTCAAAAAGTACCTTTTCAAAAAGGAAGAATAAAGTTTCAAAAAGTTCCCTTTTATAGGTTCTCATTTACTCCGTGCTCTACATATTTAATTTAATGTTTCTAGGTTAAATATTATAGAAAACTCAAAAAGTACCAGTTAAATAACGAAAAAGTACCCAAAAGTAGTCGTTGATGCCAGAGTAACAAATATCACCCCTTACTATATTTGGTGTTACAGATTTTAATATCAATATTATAGAAAATTCAAAAAGTACCTTTTCAAAGAGGAAGAATAAAGTTCCAAAAAGTCCCCTTTTATAGGTTCTCATTTACTCCATGCTCGACATGTATAAGTTCATGTTCCTAGGTTCATTATTATAGAAAACTCAAAAAGTACCAGTTAACGAACGAAAAAGTTTAAATTCATTTTTTACCACATCATTTCCAAAACACAATTTTCCATCCCTGATTTCTGTAATAACAAAACACAGTTTCATGCTTAACGTACAAGAACAAAATTTACCATATGAAGCTGTTTGTTGTTGTTTTTTATTAATTTTGTCACTGTATGGCTCGTATTTAGTTCATATCTTCGGATCTGCGGTTTTCTGAAAACTGATTTCAATATAACAACGGACAGACAGACGGACATAGCTAAATCAACTCCGCTTTCTCTAAGGACTCGGCTATAAAAATAGATTTAATTAAAAATTTCTTCAGATATTTACTTTTTCGACACTTAATGTTGTAATCGGGAGACGTCGGTATAATCGTTGTCTATTAAAGCTTGGTCCTCAAGTCCTTATGTATTCAATGATACCAAATTATAAAAATTAATATTATACAGAATGTTGGCTTTTATATGAAACATAAATCATGCAAATCGAATCAGATACTTGATTTTTATTCTAAATATTGGGATTTTAAAACTAAACGATTTTCGAATCTCAACAAAAGCATTCTGTCTGTTAAATAATTCAAATTAAGCCACTTGCAAACTATACAAACGTAAATTCAGTAAAAAAAATATAAAAATGACAACAATATATAACACTCCGGAAAACAAATGTACGGTTAAAACAAGGTAATAAGGAGGCATTAATAACATATTAACAAAGTATGCATATAATCTGCCCGCTGGTCTAAATTTATAACAAAATTTCGAAATTAATTGAACTTTAATAGTTTTTAAGCTAAACTCAACCGCTTAGAATCTATAGATTTATTTCCTCCCAATGACTTCAAGTCCTATAATTTCTACCAGGAGTGTATTCACACTTTATAACAAAACCTTAAACTACCACTTGTTTTGGTGTGCAAAAAATATAATATATAAAATTAAGTCCCTTTCCTTCTTTTTCGTTTAAGACTACTTCTGCAGTTGTCCTTATTTTTGTTTTTCAACATGTACTTAAATTTGTAACACTGACAAGTGATACCGGCTTTTCTGCATTTATGACTGACAAAATCCTTTAGGAGTAGTAAACAGAAAAAAATAACAAAAGCCTGAATCCCTTTTTCTTGTTGGAATTTTTTATTTGGGTCATTTCAGTGAAAATGTGTACATAGAACATATTCCGTAACATACTGTACAGAAATTGCTTTATTTTATGTGCGGGCGCAAACAAGTTGCAACACTACTTACTACACACGATAGAAATTATTTATTTAATCAAGTTTATAAAGTGAGGAAATTTAATTTATAAACTATAACCTAGCAAAAACTTGGTAATACCTTACCTCTTAATACATAAACTTGATTGAATAAATAATCATAGAGAGGAGAGAGAGAGAGGAGAGAGAGCGAGCGAGAGCGAGAGAGGAGCGAGCGAGAGAGAGCGAGCGAGAGCGCGAGCGAGCGAGCGAGCGAGCGAGCGGAGCGAGCGAGCGAGGAGAGCAGGAGCGAGAGAGCGAGAGAGCGAGCGAGCGAGCGAGCGAGCGAGAGAGAGAGCGAGCGAGCGAGCGAGCGAGCGAGCGAGCGAGCGAGCGAGCGAGCGAGCGAGCGAGCGAGCGAGCGAGCGAGCGAGCGAGAGAGAGCGAGCGAGCGAGCGAGCGAGCGAGCGAGAGCGAGGAGCGAGCGAGCGAGCGAGCGAGCGAGCGAGCGAGAGCGAGAGAGCGAGCGAGCGAGCGAGCGAGCGAGCGAGAAGCGAGCGAGCGAGCGAGAGAGCGAGGAGCGAGCGAGCGAGCGAGCGAGCGAGAGAGCGAGCGAGCGAGCGAGCGAGCGAGCGAGCGATCGAGCTAGCGAGCGAGCGAGTAGCGAGCGAGCGAGCGAGAGAGCGAGCGAGCGAGAGAGCGAGCGAGCGAGCTAGCGAGCGAGCGATCTATCGAGCTAGCTATCTATCGATCTATCATCTATCTATCGAGCATCTATATCTATCTATCTATCGATCTATCTATCTATCTATCTATCTATCTATCATCTCTATCTATCGATCTATCTATCTATCTATCTATCTATCCGCCCCGGCCACTTCAGAACACGGAATCCGAATTGAATTTTTGTTCACAAAAGATAAATCTTAATATATACTTTTGTTCATAAATCTATTGATTTTATTATAATAAATTTATTTCCTTTTTGTAGTAAGTGAAGTTTTTGGTGTTAAACACATACGTATGTATATAGATAATTATTTATATGTGAAAAATCCTAAGCTCCAAACAATCTAAATCTTTATTAAAAAAAGAAAAAAAAAAAAAAAAATAACTTAACTCTGTGAATTATTGGAAGGACGATAAGCAACACTATTAAAGTTCGTTGTCTTACGTTTTTCCATCATAAATTTTGTCTGTATGTATCTATACATTGTCTATTTTGTTTTCTTATTAAGTTGGCAGAGGGTGAAGTGGGGTGTGGTGCCATGACGTGGAGTGCAAACTTTAACTCATGTTCTTTATGATTACACTTGACCATAACCATAGTTTTGGGGTTTTGTTGGCGCTAAAGAAGTTTTTACTTACGTTGCTTTCTAAAAGATAGCTATTGCTTAAACAC